TCTAAGCCGTTGGCTTTGGCAGCAGGTGAAGTCGCATTTTGCACTTCCGCGGTAGGAAAGTAGCGCGATAGAACTTGTTTGTGAGAAGTAGACGCAACGGATTTGTCACGGAGCGTTGCAGATGCAGTCAAACAGAGTAGTGGATCAGGAAACCGCATTTGAACATATGCTGGTGCGAACAAAACGAGGCGCGTCAATAAGTGAAAGTGCGGGCGGAACTAGGTACCCACCCACAGAAACATCAAGTTCGTAGACTGCCACCCATAATCTTTCACTCTCTGACCAGCCCAATGCAAACCTTCTCTCGTTCGCACTTTCCTTTTTTGCTGTGCTGTCGGGCTCTTTACCGATTGGCGATTCATCCCATATATACGAGTATATAACCACGCCCTGATCAACACGTGCGTACTGTGTGTCTGGTTCGGACGTTTGCGGTATCGGGTTGGGCGTATGAGGAGGATGAATGGGCGCTAGCATCGTGGAAGGTGATGGCGCAGTGAGTTTGAGCGACAGGCTGTTTGAGTTTGGATTCGGAGGTTGTTGTGCTGTGATGAGTCTCGGGCGCCCGGGAGGTGGCATAAGCCGAAGTGGTGGAGGGGGCGGGGGTGCAGGTGATATGTAGGACGCTTCGAGGCCAATCTGGAGGTGGGTGAGGAAATGGAGAAGATATAAGGGAGGATGGCGCGCGTTCCAATCAGACGGCGAAGGAAGTTCATCAGAGGGAAGGTCGGGAATTCGAACAAGGAGGAAAAAGCGAAGCGTTTCGTCTGTTATATCACCAGGACTTTATAAGTTCGAGGCTATAGGCTATGCGGGGCCAGACATGTATGCTCACCGAAGAACACGGCGTCCCGCTGAGGGAATCCAGCAAGTTTGTCGACCCAAGGAGCGCGCGCGTCTTCCCCGACATTTGGTGAAGGGATGTCAAATTTCCCGTCGGGCGTGAGTAATTCCAGATTGCAAGCACTGAACAGAATATCTGGGGTCGTGCTAGTTGACCCCATCGTGATACTTGTACGCCTTATATAAAGTCAATATAGAGAAACAGCGATTCAGCTAAGGAGGCGAAAACTATAACATATGACGCCCAAGATCCCAAATTGGCGCTTGCAGGACGTGGCCAGCGTAGTAGATGCGAGGTGGTGAATCCGCGACTTGGTTGAAGTCGTGTGTGCATCTGTTTACGCGCAGCTGGTCGTTTTCCGAGGATCCACCGGCCAATTGACTTCTATCGCGCCTCCCTCTAGATCTTGCGCATCGAGGAGATGTATGTAGCAACTTGGAGCGCGGGCGAGTAGCTTATAAACGGAAGCACAAGCTTTAAACGGCCATCCCCGGATGATCGCTCAATGCTGCGCGGAGGTTCAAACCCTCCCTCGTCCACTTTCAGAATTTTTTCTCATTCTTTACCTCGGATTGCGAGGTCTCTGTTATCCCCACTTGGGGAAGACATCGGCATTGAGATCGTCCTATGATCGGACATCTGGATATCAACTGGGTGCCGGGACCAGAAGATATAAGTAGTCGCAAACGTCTTTGGAAGAGTTTGACTCTCGGATCCGGAGGCCCAAGAGGAGGTCGCGCTTACTATTACTTGCCCACGCACAATCTGAAAACAAGGCCAGCAGATCCTAGAAAGCCCACAGCGCGTACTAACCCACTTAAAAATGCAATTTTGGAAGGTGAATACAATAGTACTAGAGCAGCAACTGACCGTATGTTACAAACAATGCTCGAGGGGATGAACACTAGTCAAAGACTCAAAAGTCTATACCACGGCAAAGGGCGCCACCTTAACTAGAGCTTCAAACAGCGTTTTAAGCGTGGCCTGGAGTTCCGCTACGCCACCTTCATTCCGCTCCTTGCACCTATCTATCTCCCTCTCCAAAAAACCATGCGCGATCCACATGCTAACCTAAGCAGATGATGAGAGCTAAATGTCTTCTCATACAGTATGAAAAGTAAAGGCAAGCATACCTCAAGCGCTTGCAGGGATCTCGGGTCCGTGTCCCCAATCAGCCGCACAACCCGCATCATGTTATGCAGCGCGCCCATGCATCTCTCGTGCGAGATCGTTCCCTCTGAAGAAAATGGCTCATGAAGCTGGATGATTATGCCATACGATTGCATGTGAACGTATATAAGATGCAGGTCCTTCACGCTCAAAGCTAGGTTGGAACCGCCAGCATCCATAAGGAGCATAGAAGGTATCGCGGGGATTCCTTCGATGTAGGTCTGTAATATGCCATCGATATGCCAGAAGTCGTGCCAGAATACGCTACCAACATTGGGTCCGCCTAATGACAGGCAGGTACAACGCGGTTATAAGGTACTGTATCAGAACGAGTAGAGTAAAGCCCTACCTGCTTCGGCTATAGTTCGAAGGTCCGCAGCTCGCTGAAAGAGTACGAGGCCTTTGGCGATGAGAGTGTAGGGCCAGTCGTTTGTGATATTATTCAATGCTCCGCTTTTTGGATTGAGTATGTCGCGAACACTGTGCTGAGGGAATGCTGCGATAGCTTCTGGTGGCTAAAGATACATTGACGCATTAGCTGGGGTCGCACATGGCCCAAGTGATACAAATACCATTTCAAAGTACGACATCGGGAGTGGGAACACCGTCTCGATTTCCTACGACAAGGCAACATGAGACGCGATTAATTAGGATATAATATTTGTAGGACCAACCTCATCCGGAAACGCACTAGTGTGCTTATCACTTGCAGTATAATTCCGTTCGATAACGAACACCATCCAGAAACCAAATATCCTTTCCGCAAGCTCGATAGAGTCTGCAGGAGGCGGCAGAAGGGACTTGTTCCAAATGCTATCCGAGTTCGCTTCATTCCATACACGTGATTTGATCTTGTGAAGCTGGCAGGCAGTTGTAAACTTGGCGCAAGTACTGATAGTACTAAACCCCTCCAGGAATCTACCACGGAAGGTGTAGTAGCGCGAAAGAAGTGCCGATGCGCGGATAAAGTCAGACAGCCTGTTGGCTTGAGCCAGAGATTGTGCGAGATGTATTCGGGCTTGGGATAGAAGATAAGGCTCATGTTTCCGCAGATAGCGTTTTCGAGAGAATGCGCATGCAGATAGACACATGGCATCGATCAGAGCAGGATGGGGCCCCTTTTCTGGAGGTAAACTCAATGATGCGAGGAAACGGGGCACGTGGAACTCGAGCGCGCACTGAAGGCGGTGCTGGAGGAAAATATCGATACTACTGACAGTCAATATTCCAATCAGAAGAGAGAAGGGAAAAACAGTGTCTCACAGGTGGTATTTATAACATTGTGGAAGGTCGTCCTCTTCCCACCAACGACATTCAACCCCCATCACCCCAGCAAGACATTTGACCCCTAGGTCTGCAATGCTTTGGATCAGCGCATCCCGACAGGGTCGTGCTACGAGGCCGACGGGGTTTCTAGGCGAGATATGCATGGATGAAGTCATGAGGTATCGTGGAGTATCGGTGTCCAAGCCCCAGATCTCGAGTGCGGGATACCCGGTGCGGATGTCATCGAAAATACCTATTGTGTGTGGGTCACTTTAGATTTCCCAGAGAAGGTAACGTGTATCATACTCAGTTCGTACGGTCTTTTTAGCGTAGGGAAAAAGAAAGCAGCGAAAGACTTGGGCGTTGCGGTTCTTTTTATCAACGCCCCAATATCTTCGTAAAGGCTGCGTAGGAAGTGCAAATAAGCAAACGTGTTACGTAGCTGGCGACACGACTTCACCTTCTTGACATCATCATCATCTCATTAAGACTTGAAATCTCAATTGAGTCGGGAGGAGCTTGGGTCGAAGGCGGGGGCGATGGAGTTGAAGATGGGGCAGCGATTAAAGGTTCATGTCCCAAAGACTCAATCATATGCTCCAACGTCTCGATTTTCTCATACATAACCTGAATTCTGGTCTTGTGGGAGTCATATTCGCAGACTGCAGGTGGCCTGGATCGAGCGCACGTCGAGCATGTCGGTTTGGTCGTGTCACATTTCTGCAATAAAAATGAGGCTAACTGTGGTCGGCGAAGATGCGGGAAACTCGAATACCAATTTCCGCCTTCGGCAAGTCAAACAGGCCGTGTTTTTCTTGAACCGTCTCCTAGGCCTGGGTTCACTGTCAAGGAGGACGGCTTTGGTGGAGACGGTCTTTATTTTCTCGCTCATGAGTGAGAATCTTGATTGTGGACGACGAATGTGTGAACTTTCATAGCTGCAGCGGAAACAGCAACTGATGTTTGCTCGCTCCGGTGCTGTGCGTCGCCATGTTGAGTTTAGGGGTCGGCAAGCACCGATTAATATTGACCGACGATTCGGTGCGCTCGATGGAGACGGATGGCCGCAGACTCCGGGCGGTAGGAAGTATTCCGGTCACGTGTGAGGCGCCTTGGGCGCGTGTGCTATTAATAAAGTGTAACAATGGATGACTTTCCGTCGTTGGGATCTCAGGTCAGAACCAGGTCAGACCGCCACGCGCCGCATTCTGACCTGAGAAAACAGCCCGTCACAATCCAGCGGCTGTTGCGGCAGGGGGTATGCAGCTCTTGATTACATGTGACACGGGTGCTGGTTTGCTTTTCGGAAAGCTCGTCTCGCTTCAGCGAAGCGATTATGTCAGCCGAAATCTACTCGAAGCAGGGCCTAAATGTCCGTAAAGAGCAGGAAAACACGCGTTCTGCGTGTGTTTTGTCAGATTTGAAGCTGGGAGGTGGGTCGGGGGGTACCTCTCAGTCTGCAGCGCTCGGTACATGAGGTGGCAAGCTGGTGGATGGTCGACGGCTCCGGGTACGCAGCTTCGGGTCCGAAATGGTGGCAAAACCTTCCTCAAAAGTGCGGCTAACCTGGGATTCTATCGACGGGAAGTCATCCAATGCCTCCCAGTCTGGAGCCAGAGGCGTCCCGCCCTGCGGACATTCCCTGTCCAACCATGTAGAGATAGCCGGGTGAGATGCAAGAGGATTTCCTGTGCGAGATGTATGCAGTAACGTTGAGCACGGGCGAGTAGCTTGACGGAAGCACCAGCTTTAAATGAACCATCTCTCGATGTTCCATTCAGCGTGTACGGAGGTTCAAATCCTCCCTCGTCCACTTTCCGATCTTTGTTTTTATTGTGAGTTGCATTTTTGGTCAGGCTACTCTTTTATGGTTATCTCATATCGCATGGTTTTCAAAAAAAACAGCTGGGGATTCTGTATCCCCAACGGATAGCCTACAGTCCTCCCTCTGCCTTCACCACCACGGAAAACTACATGCCGACGTCCATGTAAAGCTGGCGTGGAATAAGCACATGTCAAAGCGGTGAGGGGTTTCACTCCCGAGCCTTGGGCTTGAGATTGGCTAGCTCTGCAAGCACTCACATAAGGCCTGTTTCAAGGACCAACTGACAAAAACCACCGCCCCTTAACAGGAACTTCAATGCCCGCTTCTTCGAGATGTAGATCCCGTTCTAACTTCCTGAGCGAGTTGCTTGACGGCCTAGCATCAGACAGCTCAGGCCCGAGTGGCAGAATGGACGTGCCCCCTACACAGTAGCAACAGTCGAGTGGGGTTAGGACGTACCAGCAGCTCGGGCTCGCGAATCGCATCAATACTCACAAGCATTGATACCCCATCTTTGAACGTGCTTCGTGGATCTTGGATGGGTAACCTTGATCTCATACGGAGATACCTCGACGTAGAACGCGGAAAAGGACTCGGGGCCCTCGGTGGCCGCCAGTAAATACTTTTGCAGCCTTTCCGATATCGTCTCAGCACCGGTTCCCGGGTTGATGTAGTTTGGGTCATGCCGCTCAAAACAATGGAGAAGAGCATCGAATTTGTTGGCAGGGATAGCAAGCCCCCATCTGAGCGTTGCTGTGGGCATGGTTGATGGTGGAAGTGTGGAAGGCGATGGAGCGGCGTCCGGCGAGGGTCGAAGCTTGCGCTGTCAAGAAAATGCCGGTCTGGAAGGGCCGGGATATAAAAGCAACGGAACTAGAACGCTTTTGTGTTGGACGAATCCTTGCCAACTTCACACGCGCCTGCTGTCTTGGTCTGCCCACTACCATGCCTGAAGCCGAGCTCAGCTGGGGATTCTGTATCCCCAATGATAAACTTGCAGCCCTCGTTCTCTGCCTTCGCCAGCACGACCCAAACTATGTCGAGATTCCCAGAATCATACCCCTGGGGGTCCGCTGGGTGCCACGACCGGAAAGTGGGTTACAAGAGTATTTGGAAAAATTTGAGGAAGACCCAAGGTTTAGCGCATTCGATTTCAAGTTGGTCTACCAAGAGGGACGAGGAGATGGGGTGGTGCTCATGATTACTCACGCGCAATCTAAAAAAGAAACGGGTAAGTTCGCAGAACATTGTCATTTTCTGAGCTGATGCGATTGGCTTGTTGTTCGTCATGGTGTGCTTAGAGGGGGTGGAAGTAGAAATCGAATCAGAACTGTATGATGCTGCATCATCGCAAGATCTCGTTAGGCAGCTGGAGGTGGACTTGCATCTTGCGGAAGCTGATATTGAAGTCCCTGTTAAGGAGCAGTGGTATTTGGCGATAAAGCTTTGATTCTGGGCTATATCTGCATATACACAACACCATAAGACAGATATCCATACGCAGATTCACCGTGCCCGAGACTCGTAAATCCCGTGGCCAGCAGCAAATGTTTGACACAAACTCTCTTCTCGTTCGTCTCGACGGAAATCACCAGGTCCCTTTCACTACGATGCCAGGTTACAGGTATGATCACTCGAAAGTCGACTGGTATTCGAAGGGGAGAGGCGGATGTTTATTTCAAGCGCGGGAGTGGTTGGGAGATCGGGTAGTAGCTCTCTCCGGTGGTGGTATCAAGGACGAAGGGACGCCCGTTGGGATCTTTTCCGCGGATGAAAGTCGCACCTGCCTTCTCCTGTCGCTCGGCGCGGTTAAGTGCAATCACCTCGTCTCTTCTTCCTTCCATCGGGCCTCCTTTCGCGTAGCACTTCGCGAGAACGTGGGTCTTCCCCTTGCAGTTCGCACAGCGACTCGGAATCCCAGTCTGGTCCGGCCTCCTCCTGCCACGTCTGCCTCGCGTCATGGAGGAAGTTCCCAGAGTAGTGGAGGAAGAAGTAACAGATTTGTCCTTGGCGGCTAACTGCTTTAGCTGCTCGGCAAGTCGAAGACGGTTGTATATGTCGGAGGATGTGTAGGGATTCTCAACCGTAGAAGCGTCCATCAACGTAGCGATCTCCCCTTGTAAGTGTCCAAGTGCCCTGCCCATTGCATAAAGCATGAGAGCGGACAGGAAGGCATCTTCCGTAGGAGGGCCGGCAGCGAAGATTTGAGAGGCAAGCCCAGCAATCCTGGCTGTCGTTTTGGAATAGGGCTCGGAGTCGTTATAGCGTATATTGAGAGATTCGCGGATAAGCAGCGCCTGCCTCCCTGGGCCCAGATTCTCGTGCCGCGCGACCAGAGCATCCCAAGCTTCTTTCGCGATCTCTTTCTCTTGGATGATGTTTCGATCCTCGTAGGAGCAGCGGTTCGCGAGGAGAGCAAGGACAGCTCTGTTGTTACTTCGCCAGTTGCGCGCGCCACGGGGGTCCGTGGTATCATCCGGGCAGGCAACTTTCCCGCATATATAGCCATCCAGTCCGCTCAGCACCAGAACATCGTCCACTGTGCACTTCCAGCGCCACCAATTACCTTCCGATCTGCTGAGAATTTCTATCTTTTCAACAGCCAGATCATACGGTATCGAAACGAGATCAACAGTTGGGGTGTAGGTCGCATGTGTCGACTTCGAAGTATCAGCAAGCATCTTGCAAAGCTGACAAGCGGGGGAGTTGTAACAACGAGATGCGCGATTCGACTGGGATAGACACAGCTTTGTTCGTTGAGTGACAGTGGGCAAGGAGCTTTCAGCAGAGGTGGAGTACCTATATGCGCGCAGCAGGTACGCACGTTCAAATTTCGAAGGGAACTACTGGCTCTGGCCAGTACCGTGGTGGTGAGTGGAGAGGAAATGCACAACCGCCAAAGCCTTCCAATTTGTCTGGCCGTGTGTACACATATTTATCTCGCCCATCCTCAGCCCCTCGACTCAACACCACGCAAGATTCTTCCCGTTCCGTAACAAGTGAGCATTTCGCAGATGCTGACTCTTCAGCACTTTCTTTTGCGGGGTCATGTCCTGGCCCTTTACAGATCAGCCGTTCGGGCCTCTCGTTGTAAGCGCGCGCACTCTTTGTGCCTCAGGGGTTGGTACCTGAAGTGAATTCAACCAGCCATTCCAGACTTGAACACGAGACAAGAGACTCTTCAATGGATCAGAGGGGAGTTTGAGCGGAACCGTCACGTCGAAGATTTGGTCAGTGGACAGCCTGCTCTCAAAAACCGAACTACAGGGTGTAATTAACATGAACTTTAGGAAAAGATAAAAACGCTTCTGCGCGTTGGCAGGCGCGATATCAAAGAATTACTACCTTCCATTACCCTAGCAAATCCCGGCAGATTAAATCAGTAGCTGCATTGCACTATTGTTATGCGCTTGGGTAGCCCTTCCTGCAATGCTACTGCTGTATCACGCTCTGCTCTGGAGCGATGGCTTCTTCAATAGAAGGCTCTATCGCTATGGGAAAGGCTTCCTTTACGAGGCTCAGTTAAGCATCATGCATCATGGCTGCACCCTTAATTTTTAGCATAACTTTCAAGACGACGCGTTCTCTCCCACCTCGCTGACACAACGTTCAACACGCTTGTAACAGCGCAGCTTGTCTTCCTTGCATCCTTCAAAGGCTAAAGCCTGTCCCCCTTCGTTCGTACATGATGCATGCTCTGTCTTTACTGGCTTACCGCTAGCACTTACTTCGTACAATAGCGGTGAGCCTTCCATGTGATATTACGTGTTGTTCCCGCTGCATAATCTCGATTTTATTACCGATCTTTACTTATTTCATAAGACAAATAACCACCAATCCTTCATAATGACACTCCGTTTCTCCCTTCTCGCATTTGTCGCCCTCTTCGCCCTCCCCACTTCTGTTGCAATTGGTCCTGACACGACGACCGACATCACTGAGCCGACTAACCTAGCGGGCCCCGATACCACCACCGCCATCCCCTCCAGCACCGTGACCACTCCACCCCGATCATGCCCCCCACACTACGCACAACCTCTCCTCCCACTAGCGCCGGTACAGTCCCCTCCGATGTACCTCCCCTTCACACCTCCCACTTGCGGCACCACCGCATTCCGAGGCCGCCGTACCACCCGCCGCCACTACGCCGTACACTATGATGACACCCCTCTCCGTCAAGCCTGCGACGATCTCGTCCGCACCTACCGCTGGCTATAGCAGCGCCACTCTACCCATGCGCATCCAAGGTGGTGACATCCTTGCCGCCGTCAAAATCGGCGTTGGTGAGTTGTCGGGCGCTTGAGCTTAGTCTCCCGTGCGTTGTCTTGCACGGATGCCCCATTGCGTGCCAAGGAGCCCATGTGAACCTCTAACCTTACAATAATCTCTCTTTTTTTCCTCTCGGACGTTCCCCGCTAACCGCCGCGCGGGGTTCATATATCGTAAGAGATTGTGACATGGTTTCGGTGATATCTTGCACTGGAATTCAAATCGTGTAAAACGTTGTACTGATCAGGCTCATAGAGTCGCGCCTCACATCCGCAAGCCAATATTAATGACTTCGATGTAAGTTGTCGGCGGTTTGTCGATGAGTTGCACCCTTTTTTTGCCTCAAGCTCACTGAACAAGGCGGCTATGGCTAGCTAAATCACAAGCTACTCACGGTTCGTTCGGCAGGAGACTGGGACCACGAAATCTCGATCTTTTCGCTCTTTATGGCGATATCTTATATATAGGCAGAAAAATCGAGATTTCGTGGTATTATGTATTATGCCTCTCGATCACCCTATAACAAATCACTGGAGGCCATGGGTGGCTCCTGGCTTCCCGGCCTCCCAGGTGCCTCCTGAGCTGCCCAGGAGGCCACCAGCAATTGCAGATGCTGTAGTACTAAAAACGGGGCTAATGTGAGGGCATGCGCGCAACTTTTAAGCCTACGTGAAATCCCGACTCGGCGCAGCCTCCCTAGATCTGGTGTGCATGCGGGCGCTAAGGAAGGTGAAGGAGGCGCGAGGCGTCCCGCGGCCCGTTGTGCTGCATGACGTGGCGGCCCGGCGTTGTTGGTAAAGGGAGCCGGCGGGGACGCGGGGTGGCGAGAGACACGAGGCGGCGATCATTCGTGCTGCGTGGCGTGGCGGGACATCGATCATCGATGCTGGACGAGTTGGTGAAGGAAGTTCGAACGCGATGCAGCCGCGCGCTGTGAGGTTTGCGTCCGGGGCTGACCAAAGCTTTTAGCTTATGTAACCTATAATGTGCATCCCTACGCTCAGGTTGCATTCCCACCTATGATCCAATGCGGCCAGGAATTGGTCGCTGGACAGGCCCCAAACCAGGAAATAGTCAACATTTAATAATGTTCCTGGCAATAAGTATAGTCTAAAAATGGCGTTGGACAGCATTTGACGACAATCTCATAAACAGGGTGGCTTCTAATGCTATTTCGACATGACGTGATTATCCGCGATGTCGAACGATCTGCTTTATTCAATTGGAAGGAGTTGATGCTGTAATAATCCTTCACCCCTTCAACGCAGATATACAGACTCCTTGCGTGCGCGCTCACACTCGATTCCATATCGCCACCCTTGCGCACTCGCCACCCCCACAAATGGGTGCATTCTACCGTCGCCGACGACGAGACCCGGCAGCGCGCCATGCACACACGTGGGAAGGGTGAGACGTGGGTACACGATCCTCGTGCGAAGGATGCAGAGGAGGGGGCGCGTCTGTTGCTGGGATAGAGGGTAGCGCACGCATGGTATTGCCTGCTAACATGTTTTCGCTTTCACCCCATTCTTCAGGTTGCGCCCCATGTCCCCCACTGCACACTGACCCCCCCCCCCGCAAGCATCACATCCAGCACCATCGCCGGCGACCCTAGGATTGACGGCGGGGGCGTGGCCGCCTCGACAAACCCACCGTCTAGGGGAAAAGTCACGTACGAGCCTGGGCAGTGTCCCCGGCGCGCGGCACGCTCATGGATCAGCTCCGCGTACATGCGCGCGCAACACTCGGCCAGCCCCGCCGTGCTCTCCGTCATACCCCCTGCCCACGCCTCCACCGCTATCGCTGACGGCACACCACCGGACTCACGCAGTGCAGCACCTCGCATATGGCTACCCCCAAAAATTATATATATGTTAAATCTGGCACAAAATTCCGCCCGCGCGCTTTCTTAAGCTGGGAACCGCCCCCATAAATGGTGCGCATCGCAACCGCGCCGAATAATACTCATAAGTTCATAACGACAGTACCACCGGTCACCATTGTCATATCCCTGGTAGATGTGCCGTGCCCTCAATACCCTGCCGACGGCTGGGCGGAAGGGCCTGCGGCCTGGAGAGAGGAAGATTGACTGCCAGCAGCGGTTGGAGTGGCAGTTAGGAGCGGTTGAGATACGGCGGTTAATATTAATGTTTACCTACATGATCAGAGTGTCTGCACTGCGCGCAAGGTGAGTTCAAGGGGATAATATTAATAGATATTGCCACTGTCACGTTTGTACGGGATTATCCGCCGGAGCTTGTATTTTGTGTTTTACGCTCTGGCTCTGTCCGTTCGCTTGCGCGTGCAGTCGCTGCGTGCCAGTCAACCGCGGGACGCACACGTGGACGGATTTGATTACAAATCAGTATCGCTTTGCTGGTGTAACTTATCATGCATATCATGCTTGCAAATTCGGCTTCAAGGCCTGTCTGCCCGAAAACTTGAGAGCCTCAAAGCACGCACAGATTAGAAAATCTCAAGCTACAGAAGTCTCCTATGCACACTTTGCAGATTTTAGAGGCTGTAAATGCTATCACGGCTGCTGTCGCAATTTGCATCCAGATGACCAAAGCGCTGACCACCAGTCAACATGCAGCCATCGCCTTGCATGGATTCCCAAAACACCCTCAAGAAACGTGCAAGTGCTGGTTCTCCAGCGCACTTACCGGCCTGCGAGCAGGTCGAACTCTTCATCTCGGCTATACCATCGCAAACCTCAAGCCCAAGAGCTTCAAGTCGGGCGACGAAAACTGGATGAGCGGCCACACACGAGCATTCCGTTTACCTCTGCTTCCAGGCCATAAAGGTTAAGTCCTAATAATGTCCGCTCCTGACGCAGCAGCTGATGTCATTAGCTAGTTAATCTTATGAGCGGCCGTGTGGCTTACGACGTCGAGCTTCGATTGAATGGTCAACTGCTCGGTGTAGTGCTAGTCTTCACCCACTTTCCGCCACCCATGAGGAGATAGATCAGATCCCCTACCTACTTGCACGGGAAGAAATCGTGTATCGGCATTTTCCGCCGACAATTGCACATGCTACCCGTGCTACTGCGTTATGGTGGTGGATCCAGGTTTCAATTCTCGATCCTGCGGTTCTTAGCCAAACCCTACTATATAGTGTATCCAGCACAAGTACCCCTTGTTTATTAACCCTCCAGCGTTCCCACAGATCAAAGCGCCTGCAGCATTATCTAGTCCTACTATGGAAAATATCACCACCACCGTGCTCACATCCATCCAAGAACACGCAACTCCACCCTCCCATTCCGCTCTCGACCACAGCCCCGCCCGCCTCCTCCTCGAGCGCGATTTAACATTTCCAACACTCGGACAAGCGCTGCCTGCCCTGAAAGCTCTAAATGCATGCGTGAGCTATCTCCGTTGATGGTACCTAGTGTCGGATCGCTTACGTACCTTCGATAGTCGTGTGCTATATTTATGTTTGTGTAAATCTCATCATTGGGTATGCTTGACCGCCTGACCAACCAGTTCACCCTTGATACCTTAGCCTTTGCTTGGCGGCACTGGGCTTACAAAGCGGCGGCACAATCATAGTGGTCGATGACTTAGCGCGGAGCGCACTTTTATTAGCATCCCTTGCTAGTGGTCTCGCCATCGTCTCTGGATCTGCATGTTATGTGTATACCTTACTCCTTGGTTCGGTACGAGTCGTACTCTCCGTCCCATTACCCTAGAGCCCTACCTAACTCCATTGATACTCAGGGTGTTGATATCCTCGCGGCGCCCTTCAGGCCGTCCCAGCTCATTTACGCCATGTCATGCACTTGGGTCTCGCTCGCCGGCTTGTCGCTCTCGGTCTTTATGGTCCGGGTCGCTCATGCAACCTCCCCGATGACATCCACGATATTCTTTGTTGTCGCGGGCTGTCTCTCCTCTATGGTGCTTTGCTTTGCTTTGCTCTACCATCGGATGAGTAGACGGCGCCTGCCTCAGCAGTCCCCGACCCAGCCTGCGGCTGTAGCTTAAATCATTCTACTCGGAACCCCGCCTGGTTCAATTACCCCATTAAATTTTCCCCGTTGTTTGTCGAGGCTCTCTCTTTCTTCCCCTTTTGGCGCTCATTCTGGATGACAGAGTGCTGACGTGTCAGCGCCGGCGCTCGAGCGACCATATTTCTGGTTTTACGCACACATATCAGGACACCCCATACCATTGCCAGAATTCGCACATACTACTCCCTCCTAATTTTACATTCTAGACCTGTTGAACTCGCAAGATTGAAGACGTAGGCTAGCGCTCTTTGTCAAAAATTGCGCATGAATGCAAAAAGTATGACCAATGCCCGGATTGAACGGACGACCTTGTGGATGCTCCAAGACTGGAATCACACGCTCTACCACTGAGCTAATCGGTCTCAGCATTTTCCTACCGGGTCAGCTCATCAGTCGCATACTTCGTGGCAAATGGCACATTATGTAATATGAAGTCTTTTTGAAATATGACACCAAGTCTCCAACGCATCCCAAGATGCCCAGCGATCACGACAGCGACATTGAGTACTGTAAGCACTCACGTCGCGGAGACCTTGGAGCCACTTGACTTGATCGGTGAAGAAAAAGGGAGAGAAAGGGGCGAAGTACTTTTGTGTGATAACACGCAAGGGTCACTTCTCCACCTTGACAGTTTCTGGTCCTTCTGACTTGCGCTTGGAATTGAATTCTGTCTTGCGATCAAACATTGATGATGTCGAATCCGGACAGAACTCTCCACCTGCCAGCCTAAGGAGGTACATAAAGCAGGCCTGATGATCTGAGGTCGCGGCCACCCCAGTCCCTCTGCTGCGCAGACCGTCTCCCCCAGCGTACCCAGGATGTCCGACGTTCTTCCCCATGCACCAGCGCGGTCTAATAGCGTGGACGACATCTTTCCTACGGTCATCCCCGTACCTGGGCCGGACCGGCGTCGCACTCTCGTTCTCTGCTTTGACGGCACGGGAGACCAGTTTGACAATGACAACAGTAACATCGTCGAGGTATTTCACACTGCCGCCGGACTTTGGACCTCGTCAGCTTACTTCCCATGCTATGGCCTGGATAGCTATTCTCCATGCTCAAGAAGGACGACCGGACACAACAGATGGTGTACTATCAGGTACGCATTCTGGCGGACCAAACGGTATCGCCAAGCTGTAGCTCATACACCTTGAAATCCCACTAGGCTGGGATAGGCACCTACACCAGCCCGAAATCGGTCACGCCATTCTCTACTTCGATATCGAAGATGCTCGACATGTGTGTTGCAAAGTACGTTGAAACTTGAGTTACTCGCTATTCCACGCTCTTGACTGAAGAGCATGACGCCAGGTATCTTAATCAGCACGTCATGGAAGGCTACGAGTTTTTGATGCAAAATTACATTGCGGGCGATAAAATCTGTCTCTTTGGATTCTCTCGTGGTGCCTACACCGCTCAAGCTCTTTCTGGGATGATCCACAAGGTAAAATATATATTTATACGGAACTAATGCTTAAATTTTCTCATGCTATTTGTGTTTAGGTTGGGCTACTTCCTGCGTCCAACTACCAGCAGGTCCCATTCGCCTGGAAAATGTACAGGAGAGACGATGAAGACGGCTGGGAACAGTCTCGGCAGTTCAAGCAAGCCTTCTCGATCGACGTGGACATTGATTTCGTTGGTGTTTGGTTAGACGCTTATTCACCCTCTCATATGCAATCATGAAGCTGAATGTGTTTTTTGACGTCTACCAGGGATACCGTCAATTCTGTCGGTATTCTCCCCAAGCGTCTCCCGTTCACAACGTCAAACTATGCAGTTCGCACTTTCCGGCACGCACTCTCCCTCGATGAGCGTCGTGCAAAGTTCAAGGCGAACACTTGGAATCGTCCCACGCCCCAGCAAGCAGCCCTCGGTACTCAGCCGGAACACAGGATACCCAAGCGGCGGTATCATGTCCGGACAGACATTCCCGGCTCCGAGAAGCTCAAGGCAAAGATGAGTTGGAAAAAGACCAAGACCCACGATATTCAGAGGGAGGTTGCCACCGCGACGCCTACTGATATCAAAGAAGTCTGGTTTGCTGGTGCTCATTGCGGCAAGTCTCCTCCTCTCCATAATCTCTCTCCAATATTCATCTCGGATCTCTTCTTTTATCCAAAAGACGTCGGCGGTGGATCCGTGACAAACGACACGCCCCACGCACTCGCGCGCATCCCCCTGCGCTGGATGATCCAAGAGTGCTTCCGTTGCAACACCGGCATCCTCTTCGAATCGGACAAAATCGAGGAAATCGGGCTCCCCGCGGAATCGCTCTGGCCGACTGTGATTCATCCGTCGGAACTCGAGGTGGAGGAACTCTACGGCACGAACCACAGCCATTCTTCCTCTCCTTCTTCGACGCCAAAGACCCCACTCTTCTCGAACCACGCGCAAGAAGCGACATTGGTGCCAGAGTCCCCTGAGCCCGGCCCCGGCGCCGGTACCGACGCTGTGCCTAGTCGACCAGCTCTCGGGAGCCCCATTGACACCTCCGCCACTCTGACCGAGAAACCCACGGCGGCACACTCCGACCACTCGGGCCCCGGCGACGTGTCCCTCCTAGCGAAACACGGCGCCCATTTCGACTACGCCGCAATCGAGCGCGCGGACGCGCTGAGCCCGATATACGACCAGCTCTCGCTCAATTGGCGGTGGTGGATCCTCGAGGTTATCCCTCTAAAGCAAAGGTACCAGGATAGCGACGATGATAACTGGAAATCGGAGTTTTCGTGAGTAATAAACTTGACTCGGTAAACTTCGACTTTCTTGACCTTGGACAACTCATCTTGCAGAATTAATCTCGGAAGGGGTCGTCATGTGTGTATTGGTCCTCCTCGGCTTGCATAGAAAGAACTGAGACTGATATCCACCGGGCTATAGATTCCTCAACAGATACGAAAAGGATTCTTGGTGCACTCGAGCGTCAAGACGCGCATGGAGGCTCTCGGTTATAAGCCTCGTACCCTGTGGAAAATTGATCCGACCTGGGTCGATTGAGTATATTTGTTCCTTCGTGTTCTCATTACTACGACATCTTGTATATCATATACTCAACGCGGTCCCATTGGAAATGTAAACCCCAATTTACCAGCGAGGCTGAGGTCTATTGAGTCACGAGACTGTCCAAGTCATTGACCATTGATAGTTGCTCAAAGCTGAAGGCTGCGTGGAACTTGAGAAGCATATAGCATTTAAATATTTTAAAGTGAAGAGGATCAGTATTGATAAAAGCACAGAGTGGCGAATGTCCGATATCACAAAACATTATACAGAGCGCGTTCTGAGCAGAGCCCATAGGGTGAAATTCACTAGCAAAATCTTCCTCCCGGTGGATGGATTTCGTGCTCGGAAAAAGTGGAAATCATATACCAGACAGTGAAATGGGACCATGAGAGTGACCAACTAAGCAAATATACCTGTGCTGCGATAGCGCACATGGGCGGCCGAAGTGGGAATCCTAGATCGAGTACTTGTAAAGCATGCGTAGATTTTTTTTGCTTGTGATCAGCAAGAGCTGGTGGAGCTGTCGACAGCCGAAACGCAACTACGGGCTCAATGGATGCGGGTGCTGGCTATCGACAAGGATTTGTACCAACTACTGTCGCTGCTGGACCATACGAGTAGGGTGGTAGTCTATATATAAGGGCCATAAGCACAGATAAGCTACCATATGCGCATGCCTAAGTTGCTGATGATCATTGCGCCGCCCAGAAGCGACGGCAGCACGAGGGCGAGCTCAGGAAGTGGCGCGGCGCCGGAGTCAACAGATGAGAGTTCTAGCTGCTGAAGCACTTAAGCCGGGGCTGATTGGGCCGGGGGAAGAGTGGAAAGGTTGCGGAAGGAAGACTAGTGGAAGACGGAGTTGGAAGGCTGCGAGGCGGATGTTGGCCGCGCCGGATGCATATTAAATCATGGCCCGTGCACTGCTTGAGAGCGCCAATTGGCCTGGTGACTACATATATAGACTTGTTACAAACAGCGATGTCATTGTGAAGGACATACGCATGAATTTGAAACAATGATTCTAGCCTCCGGAGCTCTGCGACCGCATCGCCGCGCAGAGTCTTTATTGTGCGGAGCCTTGTTCGCTTGTTATTCTATCGACCTCCCGAAACGGGCTCTGCAAGAGGTCCGCTGACCCAAGCGCCCATCATATATGAGCACACAGCCCTAGCGTTCTTTGCGAATCAGCTACAGATCCCGAAGGCGGCCAGCGCCTCCCGAGTCAGGCCTTCAAGCCCCGAGCGCTCAAGCACGACCCTCATGCCTTTTCCAAGTAAGCACCGCTGCGGAGACCTTGCAATCATTTCGCTTGATCCGTGAGGGGAAAGGGAAAGAATGGGCGAAGTGGGTCGAAGTATTTTTGGCGGGAGCACGTAAGGCAGTTTCTGGTCTTTCTAACTTGCGCTAGGAATTGAGTTCTGACTCGCGATGAAACATTCAAGGGGGTGTCGAATCCGAGCAGAACTTTCCAACTGCCAGCTCAAGCAGGTATATAAAGCAATCTGCGGTCGCATGCCCAGCCGTCCTGTGGACTGTCCCCCCTGCATACCCAATAGCAGCTTAAGATGTCCGACACTTTTTACCGTACTCCGACGCGGTCTAATGGTGTGGACGACATCTTTCCTGCGATCATCCCCGTACCTGGGCCGGACCGGCGTCGCACTCTCGTTCTCTGTTTTGATGGCACGGGCGACCAGTTTGACAGTGACAACAGTAACATTGTCGAGGTACTTCACACCGTGGCAGGGCGTGAAATCTCGTTGACTTATTCCCTATATTTGGATAGCTATTCTCCATGCTTAAAAAAGATGATCGAACCCAGCAGATGGTGTATTATCAGGTGCGTATCCTAGTGGGCTAAACAACATTGCTTTATAGCTCATACACTTTGTAACTACACTAGGCGGGGATAGGCACCTACACCAGCCCAAAATTTGTCACGCCGTTTTCCACTTCGATATCGAAGATACTCGATATGTGTGTCGCAAAGTACGTCCAAACTTGATCGAGCTGCTCGTTGCTCCAAGCACTTGACTGAAGAGCATGATGCCAGGTATCTTGATCAGCACGTCATGGAAGGCTACGAATTTTTGATGCAGAATTATACTGCGGGCGATAAGATCTGTCTCTTTGGATTCTCTCGCGGCGCCTACACCGCTCAAGCTCTTTCTGGAATGCTCCACAAGGTGCGATACATTTTTCTGTGCTAGATTTCAAAGCACCTCACACCATCTTCGTATAGGTCGGGCTACTTCCTGCGTGCAACCACCAGCAAGTTCCGTTCGCCTGGAAAATGTACAGTAGAGACGATGAAGCCGGCTGGGAAGAATCCCGACATTTCAAGCAAGCCTTCTCG